AGCTTTTTACGTAAAATTTGTCGTTCTTTTAATATTATAGAAAACACAAGTATATTCGAAAATAAAATATCGCGAAATATTAAACATTATCAATCATGCGGAAATTAAAATCTGTAAAACAAAATAATTTTCTTTGATTATCGTTTTTAATTTAATGTATTTCGAGAATTTCGCATCGCGTTAAATATTTATAGATTACGATTTATTGATTTACGATTTTATAATAAATTATATTGCAAACAATTGCGTTCTTTTCACGTTTTTGGATGTGATCGCTGTCTCGACGAAGAAGCCTTATCGCTGTCCCTCATGTCAGGTGGACGCTAGCAAATGCGCGGTTTGTACTGGCGGAGAATCGAAACGATTTTCATTGCGGAAAGTTATTTCTCGCCAGTTTTTGTAAGATCTATCCGCAACGCTTAGTTCGGTGCCTCATTGAAAATTGAAAGTTTCATTACAGAGTAGGAATTAAACCCAGGTTTTCGTGGCGGTTCCTGGAAACAATGTTTTGGCAGTGATTTAACGACAATCACATTGTTTGAAATCGAATTACAAAATTCATTATACTTTGAGAGAAGATATATTTTCTCTTTTTGTTAAAAATGTTCTTCCATTAATATCCTCCTATTAATATTACTATTATTTTAATAATGAAAATAATAATTCAAAAATGGATATAATAGATAAAATTCGCTTTTTCAAATATAAATTTAATTTAATAAGTTTTTGCGCAAACTTTTTTGTGCAAAATTTTTATTATTTGAAAAATTATGGTTACAAACAAGTATATTTTATTAATTAATTTTGAATTAATTTTATTTTTGGTCTCTTTTAAGAAACCACTTGCAGGAATTACTGGATGCTCCACTATCTTATGTATATTATAATTAGTTTATTTTAGATAAGAGTGTACATATAATAAAATACATGTGCGTAAATTGTGACATATTTGAAAAACTATTTTTTAATATTATTCTTAATAATATATTAGGAATGCATGATATAATATAAAATGTGTGATTAATTAAAAAATTCGAGATAAATCGAATGGGTACTCTGATATCAGTAAGATATCTGCAAATTATTGTTACGTGCTAAGTCTTAACTGTTAAATGCAACAGAAAAATTAATTTTTTGATAATCTTTCATTTGTTGTTGCCAAATATTCAAGGTGAATTTTTTTAAATCTTGCTGTTATCAGATTTGATTTGTCTCGAATTTTGAGCAAATTTGGTACCCTAAAATTATTATTATTCACACATTTAATCAAGCAACGATAAAAGCGCATGTATTTCATTTTACCTTTAAATATATTTGATTGTAACATGTATATAAAAACTATTATATCCAGTCATTTTTTAGTAAAAAGAAAAGATTTCTTAAAATGGAAGAAGATATTTTTTTACGCGAATTTTAATATTATATATTGAAAATGATAAGAAGGGTAACAGTCGTTAATCCGCTGCTGAAATCGCTGTTATCGGGAGCAGTCAGGAAGATCGGAGTTTCGTTCTTTCTTGTAGAGAAGCTTCTGATGTTTAATGAATCACTTAACTATCCGTTGTGGATCGATTTCGCGAGATCCGAAATAGAAGAAATAAGACAAATTGAAGTCGCTTCCCACTTTTAGGATCGTTCTTCTCTCTGTCAGATATTAACCAGCGTGTCACTCGGCAGAGGGATTTTGATCTGGTCTAATCGTTGGGCCAGCTATTCTTCATTGAGCGTGGCGATAACGCGATTATTTTAAGGCATAAGGATATTAAAGTTTAGCCTGTTTGCAATTGTTCGCGGAACAAGATATATATTTTACTTTTGATCGCGAAATTTACATGAAATTGTATATTTGAAAAGAAATCGACTATTAGATTCTGCATCCGCGTTTGATTCCTTACGTATATTATAATATTGTGCAAATTATATGAAATGCGCCTCTAATGTTGCAATATTTTTATTGTCGCACAAAATGATAATAATTATATTGCGTACGTTGTATTCCGATTATTATAGAAATTATGTGTATTGTGGTTAAATATTACTGTTATTATTAATTTATTTATTTATCATATATATTCGTGAAATTTAAACCGCGAAATTTAATTTTTTCTCTGATTTAATTGTTGGGTAACATCAAAGTTTTACTTATCTTTCCGCGTCATCAAACATTTCTTTTAGAAAATCTTAAAATGAATTAAAATTTCGCATTAAAATTACTTTTTCTTAATTGAGAGGAACACAAGCGATAAATTTATTAATGATTTTTTTAGTCGCGATAGATTATCAGCTACGCTAATCTAAAAATTTTCTAAAAATTTCTAAACAATTTTACGTTGTACGTATTGCGGATATTTTCGTGTAATATAGTAAAGTAATCTATGTATATATTCTACATAACAATTTTTTATGTATTATATATAATATATATTTTATTGTTATGTATTACGCTATATATTTTCAACGAAAAATTTTATGTATTATCTTATGTATTAACAATTTTATGTATTATATATATATATATATATATATATATGTGTGTGTATTATGTATATATATTGTATTATTGTTATTGTTACATTGTACATTATATATTTTCAATTTGATTGTATTATTATATATTAAATTAATTTTCTAATTTATATTTTATAACTCTATTGTATTTTGAGTTAAAATAAAATATTATATATTAAGTTATACTATTATGAAAATGATAACAAAATTATGTGTAAAAGATATTTGTAACAATAGAAAATAAATCTTGAATAAATGTCGAAAAATGGAAAATATATCTTCATTTTTCGAAAAATTATTTTATTCTTCGAATTTTCCTTTTTTTTCTTTCTATATATATAGTATTATTGTAAGTCCAAGAATGTGTGTGTGCTCTCAACATCATTATCCGTATTATTGAAAATATTTGAATAAATTCGAATACATATTTATTTGATGTTGATACCAATTTATAAATTGTACTATAATTATAATATATATTTTGTAATATATTTTTATATGACTGCAAGCTATGTAATTATGCATTATAATATTTTATAATTATATAATATATATATAATATATGTATATTTTATACATTCTTTGTATTATATTTTCTATTTGGAAAATTTGAAAAACCTACATTATATTAAAAGAAAATAAAATAAAAAAATTGTACCTCTTCGATGGTATCTCCACCTTAACGAAGGCATTTGCCGGGTGAGGAGGTTTGAGTACTCTAATGATCCGGAGAGCTATGCCGGCGGTAACGTAGGCCAGTATTCATACAATTTGTTTTTATATTTAATCATCTTAAATATAATCTTAGATCGCATCTTAAAATTCTGTTCAATCTCAATGAAATAACAAACATTTTCTAAATTTTACTTAAAACGATTTTAAATATAAGACTGTGTAAACACCGGCCTTAATTACTGGTAGGGTCACCCATGCCGGATAGGTCAAAGAGAAAGAGTCAGACTAAGAGAGATACCGTAATTATAATTATTATATTAATAATTATTAATTATTAATATAATAATTATATTATATTACAATATATTATAATACTTAGTTAATAATTATTATATATTTTGAATAAGATGGAAGAGAGAAAAGAATAATAAAACGATAAGAAGAAAGAAGCACGAGTCCCTATAGTCCCTATAGATGGAAGAGAGAAAAGAATGATAAAACGATAAGAAGAAAGAAGCACGAGTCCCTATAGTCTTGGGAATGCGACAGATCACAACATTGCAAAGATTTGAAGAAGAAGATGCATCACATGTGTAAACACATAGATAAACATGTGTAGTAATTAGGAATAGCTTGCAATTAAGTCGACTAATAATAGTAATACTTTTTAATTATGTTACACTTTATAATTTAGCACATTGTATTATATATACATATAAAGCATCAAGCATTAAATATTTTGCTGTTATGAAAATTGTAATAGAACAATATAAAAAATTTGCTACATAAAGTGTAACATTCGAAAGCATTTTTTTTCACTGACGAGATACTATTAAAGATCAATGATTTTACAAGATTTATCGTGACACGAAACATTTATGTATATACATATACATATATATTTATGTATATATACATATATATATATATATATATATATATTTATATTTAAAGTAATCTAGATCGCGTCTTGAGATTCCGTTCAGTTAGTAAAATAGTTGTATTTATTATTATATTAACGTATTAAACTCGGATTAACTCGAGTTGTGGAACCGGGCCGTAGAATTTAAATTAGAATCATTATCTTGCATTAGTAACATTGTAATATTCTTCATTTAAACATGTACTGCTTAATAAAATGTTCGTCAAAGACACAAAACGTGATGAGATATAACAAGATAAGATAGAACAAAGTTCAATCATATTAGATTAAACTGGAATCTCTCAAGTCCACGAGGAATCCGCGTGATGCTTCAAAATTGTTTCTCATCAGTTAATGGACATAAGAATCTATGTAAGCACATATTAATCACGCAAAAAAAAGTAACAATACATACACATATACATTACACAAATATCAGCCTACAATTTTATTTAGTCTACTCTGCGTGCATATAGCATAGATCACAACCAGAAATTGTGCATATATTACCTATTGAGACATTCGTGAACTATGGCTTTGTAGTTAATGTCCATATTCTTATGTCTGTAGAGGGCGTATCGCTTTCAAGTATCGTCAAAGGAAGATGTTCCTAAAAGCAGATCATGGCATCTCTTGTGGCATTTTCGAATGATCGGATTTAATCTCTCCAGGTAGTTTACTAGACATCATTGGCCAATCACGACCAATCTTTTGAAAAATGTATGGTTACATAGTTGTAATTGGTTAATGACATCTAGCAAACTATCATTCTCATTGGCCGCATTATTACTAGATTTTCGACGTAATTCACTGATTGGTCGGATCTGAAAGTAGAAACCAATCATGTTCAATTGCTATTTAGCAGTTGAGTCCGCCAAATGTGACCATTCTTCTTTCTGCATCGAACACAATCTAAAAATCTAAATGATCTAATTTGACCTTATACCTTATATTGCAGTGTGATGAATAATTTACCTCTTATTTATTCGTGAACATTTATAAATTCAACGGAAAAGAAAAAAAATTTTGAAATTTTGGCTGTGTTAATTACTTTGGCAGTACTGTGTGCATTGATGTTTTCATATTCTTTTCACGGAAAGTAATGAATATTATCATTGTGTATCTATTTTATATATCTTGTTGTTGTTTGTATCGTTATATATATATATGTTTTATGTTTTATTTTTAGGTATATTTTATGGAAGATAAAATGTCAGAGTCGGACATATTTGATGAGAAACGTTCTACAAGTTTATTTTCGAATGAAAAATTATCAACAAACCTCAGCATGGACATTGCCAATTCAGACTGTAAAGATTTACTTGGATATTCTTTACACTGTCATTTATGCTGCTTTCAATATCGTAATATTTTATTGTAGCAGATTCCATGTCTATTTATATTAATGAACCAGAATTCTCGGAAGACGTACCTGAATGGAAGGGAATGAGCATGAATGAAATACGTAAAGGTTTTGGCATATATGAATATCGAGAACATCCACCAATTGTTCCTTCTACAAAGCATACAGTGCTGTTTAGGGTATAATTCTACATAAATAAAAAACAATAAATAAATAGAAAAAACAATAGTATTTTCAATTATTAAGTATTAATTATAAAGTATTTTTTGTTGACATATATAAATATGTATATTTTTTTTCTGATTAGTTACCATTATCTACACATGAACCACCAAAGCCTTATCCGACGCATAAAATAGACAAATGGAGCCATGGATATGTACGATTGCCATGTTCTGCACATTGTATTTACCCAGTTGATCAGGTATAATATGTAGATTGTTGTATAATTTATAATTTTGATAATAGATTCTCTAACAAATTTAGTTGCAATTTTTTTTCTTAGGAGATATTAAGAAAAGTTATTATTAATTACAAATGTAAAATTTTTAAAACATATATATATATAATAAATAAATTTTTCATTTATTTGTAACGTTATATTTACACAACATTCTATTGATCTAATTAACTGATCATATTTTGATATATATTTTTTGAATATATTTTGAATATATTTCATGTATATTTTGAAATTTATTTGCTTATCTTTAAACTTAATTGAAAAAAATCTTACAATTATTTGTACTAATCAGATTATCATCTAAATGCATTTTTATGGAAGAAAAGTTAATTTTAAATTTGTTTATAGAATCTATCATTAAAATCGCGAGTTGTGGAATACTTTGTATAAGAGAAAAAGATATTAAACTCATGTGATGATAAAATATTTAGGTAATAATAGTATCTCTTATTATTTAGGTAATAATAGTATTTCTTATTATATTCTGTGTATATAGATAGTTATATAGATAATTATATAGATAATTACTGATATAATTAGACTTCATACATTTTAGAGAAATGGAGATCGTGGTTGTCGAAATAGGTGGGATATGATCCAGGAAGCTTTGCTAAGAAGCATTCTCTCCAGTCAACAATTAGAAAATGCTATACTTTCATATAATCAAATATATGCACAACGTTGGAATTTTTCAGCACTTCATCATTTTTTTTCAGAGGTATATTGTGCAATATTTGTTATATTACATTTATTATACTATTTAAAAAAAATCTTTATTAAAAAATAATTTTAATTGAAGATTTTGGATCCAGAAGAGACAGCTGTTTTCTTCAAAACTTTAATGCCAAAAATAATCCAACTTGCTCTGCAACTTCCTATGCTGTTAACTGGTGCGATACCTCTTCTGAAACGTCATACTAATGGTTTTATTAGTTTAAGTCAACTGCAAGTAGCTTCGCTACTAGCAAATGCATTTTTTTGTACATTTCCTAGACGTAATTCCAGTAATCCACAATCGGAATATGCAACATATCCATATATTAATTTTAATAGGTAATATTTTTAATAATGTTTCATAAGTTTGTACATTTGTACATTAAGTTTCATAAGTGCATTTTAAATGAATACTTTAATTATATATATTTCAGATTGTTTGCTGCTTATAGTGAGGAAAAACATAATCAGTATGAATCAGTGATGGAAAAAATCAAGTGTCTGCTCCATTACTTTAGGAGAGTAACAGCTAAAGGTGAGTACATTATATTTGTAAATTTTTGTAGATTTTGTAGTACATTATATTTGTAAATTTTTCATAACATAAATAAGTATGCATTTTAGTGATAATTAGATTACTTAGATTAATTATAAATACAGAGTTTAAATTATGTTATGCTTTTTACATAGAGTAGCACCTGAAGGTGTAATAACAATTGAACGGCGTTATATTCCTCGTGAAAACTGTCCGAAATGGAACTTGCAGAATCAAAAATTATCATCACTGCATATAACAAGTAAAGGGACCATTGAAAATGAAGGCGCTGGATTACTTCAAGTGGATTTTGCAAACAAGTTAGTTTTTACCATATATTGCCGACATAAACTTACAAGTCTATCATATGTAAAATATAAGATTATATAAACTATAAGTGAATATAACAAAATATTTTTTTGGAAAATTACTATTTACTAATTCTGTTTTTCATCTTAAATAGATATGTGGGCGGAGGTGTGCTAGGCTTAGGATGTGTACAAGAGGAAATACGATTTGTTATATGTCCAGAGCTTATGGTCACTATGTTAGTTACGGAAGAATTAGATGATACTGAGGCTCTCATCGTCAGTGGTATCGAGCGATACAGTAAATATGAAGGTTACAGTAACACTTTTAAGTGGAAAGGAGATTTCATTGATGAGACACCAAGGGACGACAGTTGCAGGCGTATGACGTCAATCGTTGCCATTGATGCTCTTTATTTTAGACAGCCCTCGTTGCAGTTCAAAATCGATAATATAACTCGTGAACTTAATAAGGTTTGTAATATAATGTAAATATTTTATAATCAGAAGTTAATATATATATAGAAATTAATAATTTAATTTAATTATTTAGATAAATCACGAAATAATTTTTATTTATAAATAATATATATATTTATTAACTTTCATGAGTTATTTATAAAAAATGTATAATTTTTAATTAGACAAAGGTTTTAAAAAAGATAAATTAAAAAGAGAGAAGAGGCAAAAAGAGCCAGTGCAGTTTATAGGGTGTAATTTTATTAATAAAAAATTAAATGCGAACAATTATTATAATATGATATTCATATTTAATAATTTTCAATTTAATTTTATTGCTTTACTATATTTTCGATAAAATTAAGAAACCATTAACTGTACAAATTATCAAAAATTGCCATTTCTTTCTCTCATAAGATTATGCTTATACTGTTTTTAGTTTTGAAAAAAAATAAAATATATTATTTCCTATAGGCTTACGTTGGATTTGTCGGATCTGATATTTATAAGAATAATCTATCCGCTATTGCAACGGGAAACTGGGGATGCGGAGCGTTTCGTGGAAATCCGAAGTTAAAAGTATTGATACAATTAATGGCTGCTGCAGTTGCAGGTCGATCTATGGTTTACTTTACTTTCGGAGACACAATGTTAAGAGACGATGTGGCAGCAATGTATGCACATTTAGTTCAACATGATATTGATATAGGTATCAATTTAAATTCATTCAAGTATTCATATATACAAGATGTTAAGATTTTATATATTTATTTATATCTAAATATGTATCTTTTAAGCACGACTTTATTCAATGATGTCAGAATATCATCAAGAATCTGTATCAAGTGACCATTCGGATTTTTATCGTTTTTTGTACAACAAAAGCAGGATAAAGCCGTTGAGCAAATATTTTCCGATAAAAAATAAAAATTCCTCAGCAAATATTTTTGCCAAAAACTCGAATGATACATTATCTGAAAAAAGCAAAAATGTGGCATTAAATAAAAATGTTTTTAACAAGCATCTTTATGAAATGACAGAAGAAGAAAAGATAATAAATTGGCTGGCCAGTTGCGATGACGATAACGACGATAATACTAAACTCGATATAAAGGACGCGTGTAATGAGAAAACTAAGAACAATCTGAAAGAATCAAACAATGTTAAAGAAAGCAGTGATTTACATTTTGTAAATGATATTATCGGAGAAAACAAAAGTCAGGGAGATAAAGTATTATGTAAGTTGAACAAAGATGTAAATTTTTCAAGTTTGAAACAGTCGATTACTCAACATTCTATTGACGATCGAGATACGTCAAAGAATATCAAATTCGAATCGTCGGAATTTAATGGTAGTGAGTCTATTAAAATTTTACGAGACTATTCTGTTTCGGAATCCTATAAACAAGAATCACTTTCGAGAAAGAGCCAAAGGGAAATCTCGAACGAACGAGATACGTCAAAGAAGATCAAGCCCGAATTATCGTTGGAATCGTCAAAACTAAATGACAGTGAATCTATTGAAATCTTAAGAGATTATTCCGTTCCGGAATCACACAAACAAAAATCACTTCCGAGAAAGAGCGGCCAAACGAAGATCTCGGATTTTTTCCACCGAATATCATAAATAATACTGAATAATCATTTTTTTCAATATAATGTTAATCTGCTCTCACAGATTTTATTCACGATTGTAAACATTTTCTATATATTCCGTAATCTTAAACTAAATCACAAGATGTAAATAAAATTCGATGCAAAATAATTATACGAGCATCTGAACAACATCTTTTTATTTTGTGTATCTTTTTAATTTCAAAAAAATAAATGTATCATTGTATAAGATAGAGAATAAAGTAAATAACGAAATCGATACTTAGCTTTTAATGGAGCGAAAATACAATTGGCATAATTTTCAATTGAATGATATTACAAATAAATCGATAATGTCGATAAAAGCTAATAAATAATAATGATCTAATTATCATTCGCTCGATCAAAGTTCCTTTGTAAAAAATTAACTTTTCAAAAAGCCCGCTTGGCGGCGATCGTGTAAGAAGTCACGTGACCGCTTATCGACGTATCGCGTTGACCGTGTGGCGTGTGGGTCGAGAGAACTGTCAAATATACGAAGATGGCCGCCGCCGCTGAAATATTAAAGTCTCTCCCGCCGTGAGAATCGACGCGATTTGCCGACAGAAAATGTAGAATTTTTCAAGGTGGAGACGCATCCCAGGTAAATTCCAGTCGCGTTGTCACAATTGGCACAAGCGGCCCGCGCGCGTCAACGATTATTCCGCGGTTCGGATGACGCGAGCCGTGGGCGGATTCACGATGCGCGCGTGTGTGTGTGCCTGATCCGTGCGTGTGCCTGATGCGTGCGTGCGTGCGTGTATGTGTGTGCGTGTATGTGTGTACCGCGCCGCGGTGTGACATCCCATCGGTCTGACGTTTTGAGAACGGACGGACGTAAATATTGAGCCGGATGCTCGACGGGCAGCGATGTCATCGATCTGTATACATTGACCGTCGAACGGATTGTCGGCAAATATTACTCGATTCGATGCCGAGGCCGTGGTTGGTTTCTCCGCGAAGCCGTCGTACCATTTTCACGCGCTCCTTCATGCTGCCCGATATGTTAACACTCGCAATGTTAGCGCGACAAATGTTCGGACTTGCCGTTCATATTTGCTGAGCTGACATACATTATTATCTTCAAATGTAAAGGATATTTTATTTTTATCTCGTGCGTTTCTCTTATCAATTAATTCAAGCATTAAAATCGCGATCGAACAATCGCGTCGTTTCCACCGTTTTACTCGCGTCGAGTTGTGTATGTATATGTGTTTCATTTTGCGTCGTTCCTTTTGGGCGCATTGACTTTTTCGTCAATTCGTTAAAATAGCTTACTCGTATTGATTAAAGCTTTGTATTGACCAACTGTATTGAAGTTTCAAGTTCACATTATTTTTGTTCCTTTATAAATTTTCTCATACCTATCAGTTAATAACATTGAAATTAGATTTGTTTTTATACTTATTTTTAGTTATTTTTAAACTTTTTAAACTTTTTGATTTTCTCTGCGGTAGTTTTGTGCGTATTTGAAAATAATATCTTGCTAAAAGAACAATCTTTTTCCGTACAATATATTTTGTGTCATATAATTAGACCAAAAAAATATACTACAATACATTCAGAAATATTAAAGATAAAAAGCATGAGACAGAATTGGAAGATAAACTATAAATTTGTTTTACAGTAAATTTCAAGTATGAACATAATGCGCAAATTACGAGGAGGCGCCGGCGTTGGAGGCATGGGTTCGAGCGGTACTGGTGGTTTAGAAGATTGCGCCGGAGGCACAAATCCTCAGCACACTGCTCTGGGGCTTATGCACCTGAAAAAACTGTTCTCCGAATATACTCATCCCCCACATCCCCTTTCCGATACTGAACGTGACGATAAATTATATAACATGTTGCCATTATTTTGCAAGGTATATATATACATATAAATATTATATACATATACATACATATATATATATATATATATATATATATAAAAGTAGAAATAAATATTTCAATATGAAATATTCTAATCTTGTAAAATAATATGTTAAATTCACATGTTTTTTGATATTAAAATTAATCCTTTATTTTAGAAAAATCTCTATACACTAATCATTATATTATTTTTATTATAAAAAGCCGTGCTATATATATTTTTATATTTATGCTTTTAGGTATTTGGATCTAGTCCATCGGGAGATATGAATGAAAAATTCTGGGATATTTTGGCATTCACGCAACAAGTATCAAGACTTATGGTATCTGAAATCAGAAGAAGAGCAAGCAATCAGAGCACTGAGACAGCAAGTTGTGCCATTGTCAAATTCTTAGAAATTGAAAATAGCGAAGAATCGAGTAACGGCTGGATGCTGCTGTCCGCGTTGAATTTGCTGGCAGCAGGCGATACCTCTCTGATACAAGTAAATTCAATTTCTCTAGTAATTGATTATATATATTTATAGATATATTTCTATATAAAATAACTTCTTTTGCATCATCAAATTTTTTTTTATAGGCCATGACTGCTGCTTCAGTTCCATCAACTTTGGTGAAATGTTTATACCTGTTCTTTGATCTACCTGAAATGAATGAGGAAGATGCTGATATTACAGATGCAAATAGTGAATTTACTCCTAGAGAACGCAGGATATTATTACAAAAAATATTTGTTCAGGTGATTTTCATATTAAAACAATTTTATATAGAGGGAACATTTTTTTCTATATCAGATTATAAATGCCTTTGTACAAACATACTTACAGTTATTGGTGAGATTATGCAGTCATCCCTATCCTGCAGAAGAACTAGCCCGTAAAGACGATCTTACCTTACTGTTCTCAGCAATAACCAGTTGGTGTCCACAGTACAATATTATGTGGCGTAAAAGTGCCGCCGAAGTTTTAATGACACTATCCCGACATGGTCTTACGCAAAATGTAGTAGCTTATATTCATAGTAAGCTCAACATTTTACTCTTTATTATGTATTTATTAAATTTTTGATTATAACTAGAAAAAATATTTAATATTTTTTTACTTTTTATCAATTTATCTTATAGATAAAGGATGCATAGCACTTTGTATTGATAATATGCAACGTGTACCTGAGCTGGCACCATTAGAAGTTGTAGAAATGTTTGTAACAGTGTTCTGTTTTCTAAAAGATTCCAGTGAGGTTTCTCAAACATTGTTAGATGATTTTCGTGCTTGTCAGGGTTACATCTTTTTATCCGAGTTTCTCTTAAAGTAAGTAAATGTCGTGTAACTATATAATATAATAATTCTTTGATTTAATAATAATTTATGATAATGAAAGATTAATAATTATTAATATATATTGTATAAATATTGTAATAATATGATAAAAAAAATTTTCCATAGACATGCGCCGTCAAGATTGGAACAAGATGGCAGAGCAGAAGCGCAAGATGCTATCCGAAATTTGGTATTAATGTTAGCATCTCTAACAATGTGTGGTCATACAGAGTTGAAGCCAAGTCAAGCTAGTATGGGATCTTTATTTCAAATGCTCGGCTTTACGTTACCACAACCCAGTAATCGAGGTAATTTTACAGAGAATACGCCGTATATACTAAATAAATACCAAATAAAAATATACAACGGATACATTTTATATTGTATTGTAGGAGGAAGCGTTCGAAATATTCAAGCATTTCAAGTATTACAATCTGTATTTATAAAGTCTAATTCACCGCTCTTATGTTGCACTATATTAGATGCAATATCCAGTGTGTACCACAGTGATAATGCAAATTATTTTATTCTCGAAGGACAAAATACTTTGTCTCAGTTTGCAGAGAAAATTCATTTGAAGAATCCAGAGATACAAGAAAAATTCTTTCAGCTATTGGAATTTATAGTTTTCCAACTTAATTTTGTTCCATGTAAAGAACTCATATCTTTGTCCATCTTATTGAAAACGAACAACTCAATTTCTTGCTCCATCATCTGCATGGAGACTCTCCTCAATATACTCAGGTAATTTTCTAAAAGCGCAATTGAAGAAATTCTAAAAATACACAAGTATAATGAATGTGTCATATAATTTTAAATATAACCACCGTTTACAGACACAACACTATATTTAAAGACGTTTATAGAGAAGTTGGTATGTTGGAAGTTTTTGTGACTTGTCTTCATCGATATGCTACATTACTCAAGGATAAGCAAGCTGCGATCGATCAAGGACTAGGTAATTTTCGTTTATTGTATTATATAAGTTTGCATGTATAAATTTTGAAAATTCGACGTTATTTTAGAATACACAATATGCCCCGAGGACGAACGGTTGGGTGCCTTAGTGATGGAGGCTTTAACGACGTTATTAGCGAGTAATGTTCAAAATGCAAATGTCTTTAGAGAATGCGGAGGTGCACGTTGCGCCCATAATTTAGTGCCCTACATAGATTGCCGGTATCAAGCACTCGGTATCGTTAGGGAATTGATACTCAGCGCGGGCGGTGACGACGATATGGCTACACTTTTGGGAGTTATGCATTCGGCACCTCCTAATGCCTTGATTCTAAAAACGCATATATTAAAAGTGAGTCTTGCGTCATATTTATTTCTACATTAATTATAGATTCATAAAAAGGTATTAACGAGTTATTTAATACTATTTTAGTCGTTGCTAGCTTGTTTACGAGAGTCACATAGAACAAGAACAGTTTTTCGAAAAGTCGGAGGCTTCGTTTATGTAATGTCAGTTTTAGTATCATTGGAGAGTCAATTAGGTTCGCAAAGATCGGAAAAAAGCGAACCCTGCAACGATATTGTGCAAAGGAATATGCAGGATGAAAGCCAATTGCTGACATTGTTACATGTAGTATTTCATACTATAAGTACAGCTATGCGATTTGAACCAGCAAATGCAAAATTCTTCCATCATGAGGTATATAACTTTAAACCATATCATATATAATAATTATATAATTTATTATATAAAAATAATGTCAATTTTGCACAGATCTGTCAATCGAGTTTGTGCGATACTTTACGTCTTCTCGGTTGTTTTTCGACGCAAACGAAAATCACCGAGATGGATATGATACCGACTATGAATTATCATAACATGTTAGTGTCATTATTTACTGGGAGTGTATTGGAACCAGTATTTCCAGATGATATGCCAAAGACATTGGGATACGCGTGTTTGCTATTACGTCTACTGTATGACGTGGCGCTCGATTC